TCGTTTGGGTTCGGGCCGGGCAGGATAAGGTTTTTAATAAAATTTAAGGCCGCCCCAAGTTTGAAAAATTAGGCCTGATGCAGATCACGAATGAAGATATTCAGCGCGGCCTGGCTCATGCAATTTATTGGAAATGTTTTTTTGTCTTTTAGATTGTTTAGACTGGTCTGTAAAAAAATTCAATAAGTTGCCGCCCGTAATACATTTAAAGGAAAAAAACATTGTGCTTATTTATTAATTTAAAATTCTGGTAGACCGGTTAGTTTGCCTGAGTTGCCCAAACTGAAATTTGCATGTTTCGGGATAGGACCTATTGATGATCCCTAATACCTATAATTAATTTGCAAGGGAATGTAAGGTGAGAAAGAAAAGAAATGACACATGACCGTTCAAAGGAATCATTTTTTATAAGAGACTATTATGATAATTATAGAGTTGTATCTAGATATAAAAATGTCATATATGTATCTAGATACACTTTTATAAAGCATCTGTAGCTAAATACTATTTTAGAGGTATCTGAACCTATTTTAGATACTTTTTAAGCTACAATATAATATACTGTTGTATATCTATATATAGATCCATTTTTAGTCGATGTATTCGTATCTATATCTAAATTCATTTTAAAAGTATCTTTTAACAACTCTGATATTGATTGATTTAGTATAAAATAAAGAAAAAATAATTAATTAAATAAAACAAATGCCGACATAAAAAATTATTTAAGTAAAAAAAAAAATTCCCATATAAACATGATTCAAACCAAATCGGTATTAACCGTTATTATTTACCCAATCTAAATCGAACCTGAATCGTTAAAAAATTTGCCACCTGAACCTCTGAAAAAAGATGTGAACCGGGTTGAACCTTTTGATTCTAACTGTTTTATAGGTGATTTAAAATCAATTTTGATTGATAAGTATAATTTATTTTTAGATATTTTAACAGTGCCAAGCTACCCAAGTTAGCGCATAGAAGTGTTCTTAGTCACAAAATTAATTCTTCCTTCGTATAGATATACAAAAGTACATTTTGAGGTATACAGCTTAATATTATTTTTTATAGAAGAGTGATAATTTTTTTTTAAAAAAATATGTTATTATTTACTTAATTATGATTACGTTTTCTATGTGGAAGGGTTTGAACGGATTTAAAGGTTCGAACCGGACCAATATTATAATTCTTACGAACCAACCCGTTATTTTATCTAAACCGATATTCGTTACGGTTTGTATACCTGTATATAATCAATGACAAAAGACGAAACAGGGTTCTCCAATTTCCATACCTGAAATTCCCGCACACCATAGTCAATCTCTCTGCCCTCCCGTTCTTAGAAGTGCACCGGGCGCAATAATTTAGAGAAACCCATTTGTGTTCATTTTATGCAAATTTTTATTTTTCAATTGTTTTATTATTTCGATTCACATTTTTTTAAAAATTCCTCTAATTTTATTATTTTAACTTCAATATCCTTTTCAATACTTTTTGTAAATCCGCTCTCAACCCGTTTTTCAATTTTTGCCGCAAAATGCCTATCATGATTTTACACTCACTTTATCTTTTACTAATTTTGTGCCGCCAACTAAACCAATATTTCTTTAGTTCAATGTCTTCTTTAATTTCCAACACAGAATATTACGATTAATATTTCTCCCCTCAATCTAATATTAATTTATTTATAGCATTAAACTAGCGACGATTCCTATAGAAGGTAGTTTAGTTGTTTTTTCTCGATATATTAATAATATATATATTTTTATTAGAATAACATTAACATTTTTTGTATCATCTTAAATAGCCAAACATGTTACTATATTTATTATATTTAATTAGCGGGGATTCATAAAATAGTTAAAAAAGAGTGCTTTGTGTATATTCTAGATATTCTAATAACTTAATGATTAATATGAACCTTTATAAAAAAAATTTGAAGAGTTAAACAGGTTTCTATATTTATTTTATTATATTAGTGAGGATTCGTAGTTGAGTCAAAAAATAGTTTTTTTCTAATATCTAAATCAAAATTTTTTAAACTTATATTAACATTTCTCAATTATCTATATGAGCTACGCATGATTCTATATTTCAGAGACCTGCAGAGGTACCATTTGCACGGCCCGGCCCTGATTAAAAAATTTTAGGCTCAGCCCTGCTCGGCCTGGATATTTAAAAAATAATTTGGCCCCGTATTTTTTTTAAAAAAATTTTTAGGCCCGACTCGGAATTTTTTAAAATTATATTTGACCTGGTATATACAAAAAATTCACCTATTTGGTATTTTATAATATTTTTGGGCGAGTATTATTATTTAATAAGTAAGCATATTCGCTAATGTTGTTAAACGGCTCGTTTTGAGCCGATTTTTAAAAACGGCTACTCACAATTTCGATACTATGTCTAGATCTTTGCTCCTTCTATGAGCAAAATTTTCAGGCTTGCATAATATTTTTCTGGATAAAAAACTGAGTTTAAAATATGTAGTACATATTTTATTTATTTTTATTCTAAACAGATATTTAGTATATTACAAATTGACATATAAAAAATTTGTGTAAATAATATTTTGAGAATATACTATATTAATTGTATTTATAAAAGAAATAAAACTGATATTTTAATTAATAAAAAATATAATATATAATAATGTATTTTATCCTTAGCGTATTTATTCCATGGCAGGAAAACTATAATTATATTATGTAATAGATACTATGAGTGTTAGCTAGTGTTAACTTTCACCAAACATTATATTAATCATAACTATATATAATCATTATTATAACCATATCTAATTGACGAATATAATAATCCATGTTTTATAAGTTTTTTTTAAAAACCCGGTCCGGTCCGGGTATATTTTAAAAATTTAAAATACGGCCCGGCCCTGGTACCAGGCCTGTAGGTCTTTCTGCTATATTTTTTTATAAAAATAATGCATAATTTGCAAGGATTCATAGTTTAGATTGTTTTTCAATATCTTAATAATTTGCAATTTTTTCAATAATTACCTATAACTCATTTTCTGAATTATCTCGAAATTAACATAGTTCAATATTTTGTAAAATTAGCACAATTAACATTTCTAAATCATTTAGAACAGCACACACATGATTATATGTTTGTTTAAATTAGTGGGGATTCATAGTTAAGTAAAAAATATTAATATTTTCTGAATTATCTTGAAAAATGTTACTGTAATAGATTTTATTAAAATAACACAATTAAGAGGATTGGTAGTTTAGTCAAAAAAATTCGATTCTTAAATGAAATTTTTTTTAAAACTAATATTAACACCTGAATCATCTCGAAGGTCTAAACATGATTCTATATTTTTTTTTAAATTAGTGCATAATTATCAGATTTGTATGTTTTTCGATATTTTACTAATTTATCACTTTAAAAAAATTAAAAATAACATTTTCTGAATAATCTTACAGAGCTAAACATTATTTTTTATTTATTTTATTAAAATTAGAGCATGTAAAATTTTTAAAATATTATTTTTTTACATGACTAAAATATGGGCCCTCATATGCGCCCCCTATCAAAGAAGCTTAATTTATAAAAAATGAACGCAGAATCATATAGAGCTTATTCCAATGAATAAAAAATCTTAATATATTTTAAAACTTATTATAACCTAGTGGGCTTTTGAAAAAACAATTTTTTTGACTAAACTACGCGTCTCTATGCGCCCCCTAAATTCATAAAAAAATAAAGAATAATCGTATTAAGCTCATTAAAAGGAATCAAAAAATGTTAATATTAAGTTTATAAATTATTTATAACTTATTGAGATTTGGAAAAACTTAATTTCTTCGTTTTTTGACTAAACTTTCGTTAAATATACTTTTTTTTGATAATAAAAATATATATTTAAAAAAATAATAATACCATTTATACATGATTCTGTATTTATTTTTTAAAAATAATGTATATCTAATGGGGGCGCATAGTTTAGTCAAAAAAGAAGAAATTAAGTGTTTTTTCCAAATCTCATTAAGTTATAAATAATTTATAAACTTAATATTAACATTTTTTGATTCCTTTTAATGAGCTTAATCCGATTATGCTTTATTTTTTTTATGAATTAAGCTTCTTTGATAGGGGGGCGTGTAGTTTAGTCAAAAAAAAAATTTGTTTTTTCAAAAGCCCACTAGGTTGTAATAAGTTTTATATTTTTTATATATTTCTATAAGCTCGATATGATTTGCATTCATTTTTTATAAATTATGCTTCTTTGATAGGTGGTCTGTATTTTAGTCATGTAAAAAAATAATTTTTTAAAAATTTTACTGTTATCTTTTTTTTTAAATGAAGAAAAAAAAAATTTCTGCCTTATCTTATAAAGCTAAATACGATTCTAAAATAATATAATTTAAATTAAGCTTCTTTCCTAGGGGGGTGGGTAGGGGCGTGTAGTTTTTGAGGGCATGAATTTAGTCATACACTATATTCTTGAATAGCAGGATGCCTGATTGTTCTTGGTCTGTATATTAAAGAAAGATATGTATTACAATATTATGCATAATAATTACGCTTTTTATACCTCTCATGATATTTGATTTATTATTCCTTTTAATTTTAATAAATATAAATAATCAGTCTACTTTCTTAATTTGAAATTATTTTAATTCTTGATTCTAAATAACCAGTTTGTGCAAAGTTAGTTTACAATTCTATTCTTTCTGTAAATTGGTAAATGATATTAAAAAATAGCAAAAAAACAATATACAAGTAGATCCTTTTTAAAAATATAATATGGGTGAATTTTTAAGGTAAGAAAAGGTCATTTCATTTTCAAGGAGGGTAAAAATTTTTTTATCTTACTCTTCTTATTTCATCTACAAAAAATGATATTTTATAAACTATAAAAGCATATATTTCTTGTGGTGTATAAAATAATTTAGGAGCTAAAAAGATTGAACAGAAATTTTGTAATAAACTTTATAAAGAAATATTTTGATTATAGTTATGATCATATAATGAAACTATACATTTGACATCAAGTTTATTTACAAAGAGAATTTAGTTTACTACCTAAATTTTGTAAATAAATATTTATTTACATTAAGTGCAATAAATTAAAGATAAAAAGAACATTAAATTTCAAAAACTTATATTATATAAAATTAAAACATTGTTGTTATTTTATCTGTATTAAGAATAATATAATTTGTTCTATAATATTAACAATCTAAAAAATTTGCAGCCATCAAGAGTTCCAATGCAATTTCAGGTGCTATAGGAAATTCTGGGATTTCAGTTGAACTATTTGTGTATCTTACTTTATATGTAAAATACATACATACCTTTTGAAGAACATGAGACCTTACAATTAAAATATTAAATATTTATTATTATCTAATACTTACGGAATTTCACGAAAATGGACCTCATTAGTTTCATTTTCTGCAAATTGGCCTAATAAATTGGTAAATGAGTGATTATTAATTTATGGGAAATTTTTTTTTACATAACTAATTAAATACATGTTATTCAGTAAATAACCTGGGCCACTAAGCATTGCTTTAATTGTACCGGAGGTTAAGGCATGTTCTCTTTTAACAATAAACTCGTGCCCATCCGAGGAGATCAATTTGACATACATAGCATTCGGTCCTTCGCACCCACCATATAAATTCCTATTTACATGATTTTGCTCTATATTTATTGAGCTATTAGTAAAATCCCCTGATGTGTGCTCATCTTCAACAGACATTTTAAAGTCTAGAACCGAACAAACGAAAAATTATAATTTATTTTAAATTGCTTTGCCATCAATGATATGACATACGTCATAAAATAAATTTACAAAATATATTCACAAAATGTTGGTAATAATTTGATTCATTCTTAAAATAATTTTTTTTTTTTTCAGTTGCAGAGTGGTTCAATATTTTTTATGTCCTTAATTTAAATCATTTCCCAGACATGATTGCTAAATATTACACTAGATAAAAATTATAAAATCATTTTTATATATGATATTTGTATAGAATAGAATAATCCATTATTATATTATTCTATAATTTTATAAAACATATAAAATTGTATCAATATTATTATAAAATAACAATTAATTAATATAGTCTCTTAGGATATATTGACGACGGTAAAATATATGGGAAAATTAAAAACAATAAAGAAAAAAATTATTTATAATTATTCGTGTCAAAAATTATCAATTCATGATGAAAATAGAAATGATTCTAAATATGGATATTATTCAAAAAATTTTTAATCCATAATACTGATATTGATGATTATTTAGAAAATTAGAAATTTGTGTTGAAATAAAGAAAATACCTGTTAAACAAGATATTCAATAAAAAATAATTTTAACTGATATTAGAATCGCAATATTTGTAAAGTAAATAATTTAATATATTCAAAAATATCAAAGAGTGTTCTTTTAAATAAATTTGTTTTTCATTTAAAGAATTATTTAAAAAAATGTTACGTAATATTTTGCTATATTAGAGTTTAAACGAGCGAAGGAGAAGCTGTAAATCGTTACTTACAAAGAATAAATACACTGAGTATTCTTTGCAAACCTAAAAGCAATATAGAAGAACAGAATAATCAATTTATTGCCAGAGTTAATTTATCAAGATTAAATAACAAATTAAAAAAATTCGAATTGGTACTATCAGTGAGAAATTATCATTGGAACAAGTTAATCGCAAATATTGAATTTAACATTTCACTCGAATATTAATGCGAATTTACTATATGAAAAAATAAATGAATATATAACATGTTGGATCTATGACAATCAATGGTGGATTGTTTTAGAAAAAAAATCAAAAAAGAAAAGGTGTTAGTTTTTTGCATCCTCAAGGACCCTCAAATTCTTATATATATCTCGCCTTGATTGGCAAATTGTGAATACATAAATCACAAATTTTAAATGTGGACAATCCTTCAACTGTTATCGAACAAACATATACTTTAGATAAGGATGAGACAATCTTTTTGTTATAAACTTCAATTAAAAATGGTTTGCTTCTTTGTTTTGTCTTCAATACATAAAAATTAAATAATGTTTTTATTTTGTTGAATTAAGTACATTTAAGGTAAACATATGGTTTTTGTGTTTTCTTTTTACTTAGGGGTTTCCTTTACTTTTATAGTCCTTAATAGGATGTTCGGCAGATATAAGTTAGATATTTAGGTATGGGAGATTGCCCTGCATCCAGTGGTATAATTAGAGTTCCGGAAATTATAGGGGGGGTAGGTTTTATCTCTAATTATATAAGATACTTTTTCCATTTTACGCCAATTTTATTTTAATTTATTTTTGCAAGTTTCATTTTCCCTATAAAAGGGACAAATTTTTATGCTAACGATATAGACTTTATATTTTGTTATAAAATTATACTTATATACTTTATTTGATTAATTTGGATATACACGTTTTTATTTTATTAATAAATTTGAATTAAAGTTTTATTTTGAGTAAATTATTTATGCCTCTTACAAGATCCCAAATAGACGAACTCACTACAGTTCAAACTGCCCCTACTCTTTACTTTTTAATTTTTTTTTAAAAATATATAATTATTTATATCTAACTAAATTTTGTTTCAAATATATTTTAAATTATGGAATGAATATGATTATCTATATATATTTCTATGTTATTAATATAAATGAATATTAAAAAATTATACGAAAGATATTTATTATTGGAAATTTGTTACATTATTAAGTGTCTAATGGGCATTTGCCTAAACTGCCCCTCAGTTTAATTAGTATGTTTAATAGAAATTCGAAATTTTTTAGTATAAAAAGGGAAAATATCCTGTTATTAAGTTAGCAACAAAATTTTAACCATAATCCGTAATTTCATAAATCGTCATCTAATTATTTAATTTTTGGTAAAAATATATAGTATATTTTGTAAAGGTCGATAGTGTCGTCAAGGTTTTGACATCGTATATATACATTTATAAAAGGTGGCTAAATAAAAAAAAAAAGATTTCGAAAACAAATTCCCTTTTTTTCCTTAAAAATACAGGTAAAACCATATAGGTAAACCGGAAGTTAAAGACTCAAATTGGCGCCAATTTTTTTTTTTTATAGCTCTTTAGAGATCTTTTTTGCCTACAATATGATATATTATATTTTTTTATATAAATAGTTTTCGAAATATAAGAATTTAAACATTTTACAGATTCCAAAGTTGTTCTTTTTTGTAGCTATGAGCCCCTATATTTCTAGAACCAGGTGTTTTAACGAGCTAAAATAAGTTTTCTCATTTTTTACTCATCTAAATAATTCCATAAATTTTTGCAATTTTAAAAGGGGTCGGCCGAATCGTGATAGTTTTGACATGACATAATAGTGATTTTTTCGCTGTCTAAATGAAAATCTACTTAGGTAAACTTACTAAAGACAAATAAAATAAATAATTAGACCTCCCCTCCCGATCATTTATTGACAAAATATTATATCCTAATAAAAAACAACTGACGAAAAAATTACTGATTTCACGAAATAAATATAGGTATACAATATAATTCCACCCTAAATGTTTCTATTAGAGTTGTACAAAAAAAACAAATTTATCTTTCATCAGAGGAAAGGTTAGACTATGAAGACCTCAGTTTAAAAATTTCAGTACTTATTAAAACAAGTATTTGTGTGTAAAGTAAAACTAATTTTGATTTTTTTCAGTACTGAGTTTGGGTAACAATTTTATTTTGTGCTTCAATTATTCGTCATTTTTTAATTAGTATTTAAAATGATTTTATTTATTTAAATAATACATGATATAATATATACAAATAAAAATTTTATATAAATATAATAAAAATCAAAATATAACGTTATTTAATAAACTTTTATTAAGTTTAATTAATAAAATATCATTTAATATAAACTGCCTTTCTCGACTCGAATTGATGGTTTCAGAAGAATAAAAAAAAACTGGATCGACATATTGAATAAGTTAGGTTTGGTTTATTATTTCTTTTTAAAAAATTTGGAGTGGTAACCTAAATTTGACTTATGCCTTATTGCTCGTAAAGGCTTGCTATTTTATGTCGTTGTAGAGTAAAAGTATGACTTTTACTTAATATTAAATAGCGCTCAAATTATAAAGTTAGAAGACATCATTTTTTTAACCCTTCACTACAAAGGTGGGGTAAATAATACCCCACAGCTTATATAATCTTGGTAATTAAAAATCCTGAAGATAATTTGACCTGGTTTTTATAGTTTAATATTTTGTAATAAGGAATAAATCTATCAAATTTCAAGATAATTGATTTGATATTTTTTAAAATATTTCCAATTTGGGGTAGTATAGGTCCCCCCTTTGTACTTACGAAAAAAAATTTTCCAAATTTTTATTTATTAATTAATATTATTGTATATTACAAACTAATCAGAGTTGTTAAAAGATACTTTTTAAATGGATCTAGATACAGATACAATTTAAAATGTATCTAGGTACAGATTCATTTTTTATTATACTGTTAAATAGGGTTTGAATAAACCTAAATTAGGATTCTATTGTGAAAATTCATGAATTGATCTAAATTTATTGACTCGATATCACATTTAACAAAATATAACTAAAGTAATGATCATTAGATATTAATATAATATATGATTAATATAAATAATTATTAAATATCATTAATAAAATAATATAATATAATATATGATTAAAGATTATAATAATTATTAGATTTCAGTAATAAAATATTTTCAAAATTTTGGTTTAAGACATCCTCGTTTATCTGTAAAACTGGAGCGCTGGAAGGGACTGTGGTGTTATATTTAATGAATAACATTTTTATATCAGGATATTGTTTAAAAATACTAAAATCTCGGCATTCACTTTTGAAAAAACTATTTAAAATTTGTTGATTATCAGAATTTATATCATTAACAATCATATCTCCTGCTGTGGGATACTGAAAAAAATCGGATATTAAATTATTGGGTTTTTTTTCACAGGTTAATTTGCACTCATTTGAAGACTTTGATAATTCCTCAACTGATCTTTGTATTAATTGTTTTTTTTAATTAAAATTTTCATCCATTTGCAACCATGTCCAATTTAGTTTAAAAAAAGGATGAAGCATAGTTGCCAAAATATTTTCAACTTCAAAAATTGTCCCAATAAACCTAGAATTAATAAATACTGATTAATTTATTATTAATTTACCTATCTTCAATTCCTTTAAGAAAGGCATTTAAGAGTGGTAAACAAAATTTTAGGTTCAATTGTTTAAAATTTTTCAATTTAATAATGAGCTGGGAAATATGTTTACCGGCGATAGGCACTCCAACAATCTGCTGTTGTGCATATTAACGATAGTTCTATTAGACTTTTAATGATTTCTTTCTTTTCATTCTCCCATCTTTGGGAAATTCTAGCAACCACTGTCTGTCTGCAAATCATATTTTTTTTGTGGAGCTAATGTTTTGATCATTTTTATAAATGATGGATTTGCAACAATTGAAAATGGCTGAATGCTATCTATAATAAAATCAGATATTAAATGATCTAAAATGGTTTGGGTTAAAGTCTGAGGTCTCTTGAAAAAAAAATCATTGGACGTTGAGCCTAGTCCAATATTTTCTTTAATAAATTTTTTCTCCTTATCCTTTTTTATTTGGATTAAGAGTGTTTGATGTTTTCTCTTAAAATTTAAAATTTAAATTGTAAACATTTATTTAGTATCTATACCCTTAAATGTTTTACAATGTTGCAAGTTGAGGTAATGCTAACTGAAATTTTCATATTTTTG